TGTTTAACGATTTGTTCCTAGCAATCTGTCCAAAATTCATATGATTATCACTTAGGTATTTAAATTTTGTTTTGATAACCATTCCTGTGTATTAGTAGTATCACTAAATTCTATCACGGTCAGGTAAACATGGGGTTGGGAAAATCTCCCTGTAACTAAATAAACCGTATCAAACTAACTGGAACACTAGTTGAAATTCTTCTCCACGGTAATACTTTTGTTCCTTCAGTTAGCCTACTAATACAGATGCAATTGGAAATCGACTCATATGGACAACTTACCGGCATAATCGTTATTTGATTTCATAAGTTAGACTAAAAGTAGTACTAATATTAACATTTCTACAATATTCATAACTTTAATATTTCTAAACACAAAATACATACTACTTATACGTTAAGTTATCAACCAACGGCTATTACACACGCATCGTTTTATTATTACTATTATTATTATTGTAATCCCATTTTTTATAGCTCAAATAATCACTCAAATTTTCATTGTAAGCGTGTTAAACATGAAGGCAGATATTTTAAAATTATTACATGTATTTCCCGACCAGATGCTGCCGTCTTCCTTTTGATTTATCTTTCAGCTTGTCATCACCCGGAGGATTCTTACTAGTCTTGGTAACCTTCGGCACACTACAGTCTCATCCAATTGGGTATCGAACCAACACCACGTTGATTCTGGTGGGAGAGTAGTGTAGTGGCATTGAACCATAACCACACTATCCTCAAAGCTGAATACGAGATTACTCGGAAAATAGGTATTCAATATTTAACGCGAAGAAATACCTAACGATGGAGAAGGCGCGAATAATGAATTGAATAGACTAGAGTTGATCGAACGGCATGGCTCGGCCATGCAGGCGTGGTCTCTGCTGAATGTTACCTTATATCTTCTATTCATATTAAATATATTGTTCTTTCTCTAGCCTAACCTTGTTCTACATCATGTATTGGTAATTGATACGATACAGTGAGTTGGTGTAGTCGATGGTGTGACTTCCACGTAATATCTTATAGATTAGGCAGTTATATCATGACAAATCTACAGATTTAGGATTAGGTCTATTATTAGAGCAGTACTAATATCATAGTAGATCATAATTCTACATGTCTACATGCAGATTGAGAATACAAAGGTAAATAGATGCACTATAACAGAAGAGTCAGTGTCCGTAGTCGCGTCTCACAGTGATCCTTGGTTATTGTTGAGTCACAGTTTTATGACCACAGTGTATTGCCGTGAGTCTCAGCTAAGCGCTGTACAACCACGTGGGCTTGAGGACATTTACCAAAATAGGCACGATTATATTCGCTGCAATATAGAAAACCTTTGTGAGATCCGAACTTGGAAATCGTGTTCAGTTTGCAAGTTGCCGTCTCAAGGGTGACTCGATTATCCTGGAAAAAGTACAGAAGATAGCTATTCATGCTGTTGCAGAACTACGATGTTTACCGTAAAATAGTGGCTTGAGAAGTTGCCTCCTCAACTTTTCCTACTGCAGATGAAGAGGTGATATGAATTCGAAGCGTAGAACACTGAAATAATTTTGGACCCGATACATACTCTCTTCTCTCTACTTATAGATCGGGATAACTCAGAGGACGTCGCAGGAAAGTACAGAACCGGAAACTATCAAAATACCAGTGGTTTATTGGTTTTCACACTGAGTTATCAATTTTTGGAACCTGTTCACTGGAAAATTGATGTTCGGATCTTATATTAACTCGGTCAAGATAAGATAAGACACCCTCATAAGCTAGCTAGAAGAGGAGTAGCATAGAGTTTCTGTGTTCAATGAACAAATCTGAAACTTAACTCAAGACCTTACGGAATCGTATCCGTGGAATACTAAATTCAGTTTTCTCGAAAGACTGCTAACACAATAACTCGGAAATGTCTCCTGCTACAAGGATTTAGGTTTAAGGAAATCACTCAGTTTATACTAAGTGATAACAAAGACATTGGATATTGGATTAGGAAGTTGATTCAAACAGTCGACTAAAACGTCGATCTACCTCCGGCGGGCTAGAGAACTTTCCTGCGATGGTGAGTTGCTATTTATTTTCGGATTACGGTTGCGAGGCTTTTAACTAGTAGGATTTAATTCAAGACGCTTAGAACTCAAAATAATGTTTTTAAATATGAAGCAAAACAAGTATTTTGTCTGTGTAGTTTGTCTTAAAATGGGTGGTCACCGATGTCAAATTAACTGACCTTAGTGTAAAATATATTTAAGGTGATTAAATACTGTATTATGACAAAACTAAAAAATCACACGGCCTTGATATACTTAAGGCTATCAACTCCGACGGGTGTTCTAGTAGAAAACCTGCACAAGGCTGATATTCCTCTGCTATATCATTCAGTTACATCCTCCGAATTAAAACCTGTTAATCTACATAGTTGAACACAGCCTCACGGCTAATGATTACTACTATGGTTGGGCTTCGTTAGGTATGTCTGTGTGTGCCTGAGACCAGTCCGGTCTTACTGGGTTTGCTCATTATTATCCCTATTTGAGCCTGGATGGTCAATAAGGCAAATATTTTGGGCATTATTAGTCATACTCGTGTGTGGTTGTCACCAGGCAATTTTCTTTGTAAACTAGAGTGATCAAGACCGACCAAATAGGATTTCATCTAGTTCCCAAACTAGCTAGGATCTCAGTTGATTTAACCGCTTGCGCTAGACCAACATGTCTAAAGATCTTGGGGTTTAGTCCATCAGTGTTCTGGCCATCGAATCATTGTCCTGTATGCTCTCACCAACTCAAATTTATATTATGTTTTGTTGGCAATTCTGAGATTCGATCTGACAATTCCATCTCATTGTGCTATTGGAGTGCGTCATCTTAAACCAATATACATACGTACCAGGCTTCACGTCATGACTAACTGGCTTGATGATTCTGACATTTTACTGTTGCTTATCGCCGCCAACTTCCTCATCGATTTTTTTTCACCTGCTCACCGTTGCTTTGGATCTTTACGTAAACGTTTTTACATTCTACGTTTATTTCCCGCTCTTTCCCCGTCGTGTCTGGAGTCAGACGGTATGATTTTTAAACATATAACAATTCAGTAGACGCTGCTGAAATCCACTGGTTGTTCCTAATTTATATGTTTCAGTGCGCGGTCATTAACTGTCCATAGGTAAATGCAGATTACTTATTGTCTTCCCCTAAAACCTGAGTTTTAAAATTTCTTGCTTTTTGTCCACTAATTCGTCCTCTTCAGAACAAGTTGCTCCTTATCCTTTCGACTACCGTTACTGCTACTACTAGATAGTTCCATCTATCTGTGTTGATATAACTTAAGAGCTTTTTATTAATGCACAGATTTGTTAGGTTCCCTGTTACCTATAGCTGATTTAAGTTGTATAGAAGCGATTTAGTAGTTAAAGCGTCCAACTGTCATATTCTGTGTCCCAGGTTTGAGATTCGCCCCACCCACTTAGATTCGCGTAACCGGATAGTATCATTAGCCCTCACATTTGAACTGTGGCCCATATAAAAGTACCTGGAAAGTTAGTCAGTTTAATCTTGTAATTAATCTAACTTGTGTTGCATGAATCATTGGTTATAAACGTTTTGGTCGTTGGGTATTCTGATATGTCCTCATCCCATAATTATCTTCAAATTTGGCCAGAAACTTCAATACTGCAAAGCGATCCTCTGAAAACTGATGTTCGAAATAGTTTGTGATCGAACAATTGGTAGCTGTTTTTTTCGGTTTACTTAAGAAAACCCGTGTTCACTTAGTTTTTATTCTATTTACTAACTAGCGAAAATCTGGGTTTGTACCTGGAATTTTATTTATTTACTCTATACACAAATACTGAAATAACTGGTCACCGAAATAAATATTTGCCTCAAAAATAATGTGTTGAAATTACAAAGAAACATCGTGAACAAGAATAATAGGAGATATGATTCAGCTAAAATTGCAACCAAAATCCCATTTAGGCGGTTTTTTTACTTTTGTGAGTGCGAAAACTACAACCACTGTGGTCTATTCTGAGCCATGTGTGATAGTGTCACAAGCCACTGAATTGCATTTTCTCTGGGATGCCAACTTTAGACTTATGATGGACCAGTAAATCCTAGTCTCAGACATCTTCCACATAGCAGCGGCACGTCATAAATTGATCACTGCTTTTTCCACACCATATCATCGCTGACAGGTAAAGCACGATGTTGAAGTCGCCGAGATGATAACTATAAAATATATCCAAGCTAGTAAAGCGGATGTTTCAAGATGACAACTGAATTATCGTCATTGCACCCGAACACATTGTCAAATCCCAGTACTACTTACATCGAATTCTAACAGGATGTTAAGAATCCTATGAAGACGTGATGGGACACATTTTTAGACATTGATTACTAACTAATCACCTAAAGCACTCTCTAGACAAGAATGAAGCAGGTATTTTCCGAGTCCGTAGATTGTTTCCAACTGATGCAAGGCAACGCATATTTTTACGTCTGCTTTTATGTGTCCGAGTTGTCACATAAGCAGATTGAGACATTGAAATGGTAAACAGCGAAGAATCGCAAGTGTAATAGGAAACTAAAGAAACAAAATGTTCGGAGAATAAAAGGATATAATCAAAATTTAAATGAATACGGGAGTCTATACCACTGCAGTAGATATAGACTCGTCACTTATGCTTTCATCATACAAATCTATACATAGTTCCGCTTTTGAGCTGTATGGTAGTATCACTAGATTTTATTAATTTAATAACAATTCAGATATACTTAGCTTTTATCGTAAATCTATCAACTTGACGTATTAAAATGAATACAGACTTAAGACTAAATTGCTTTTTTATGGATTTGCTGTCAGTCAAAACTCCTACTCTTTAATGTTTATTGAATAAACAGGAATATGTCCATATCGATTTCTCAATAAGTTCTATTGTTTTGTTTTTCAGATACATGCTCTGAACTTACTTCACTGTATGCTTCTTTATATTTGCCCATAATGGATGGCAATTTGTCAGTTTTGTATCCCGATTGTAATATTCTCCAATTTGACTCTGTTAATGATAATCTGATGAACTATCCTAGGTTGTATTCCAATAGCTGTGGTCTAACATCAAGCGCATATCTGAATGAATTCCAAAACGTAAAGGAAGATCCACAAGATTTTACACAGAAGCACATGTCTAGTAGAAAAACGTTCACGTGTCCTAAGTGCAACAGTGTTTGTTCTAAAGACAGCAACTGGTGCTCCAGCTGCGGAGAGCTGCTGATTGGCGCGGAAGTATGTTCTCCAGGTGAACCAAAATTCATCTCAAATGAAAGTCCAAAGACACAGACTAATATGATGGACTCGAGTAACCCTTTATCTAATATTTCTTCAAGTGTACCCATTAGTTTCAATATGTCTTGCGAGAATGCTACACACTCGCCCAATTTAGTTGCTTATCCATGTCAACCAATATTACCCGTCGCTACAGATGTAGCGTTTTCTTTACCATCTTGTTTAGCGTCAGCATTCTCACCAGGAAATCTAAATACACATAATTCAGAGTGGAGCAGTTCATCATTCTCACCGTCAAAGCATTTTGATCAGCTACGTCATAATAAAGCAAACATTCCTTTTTGTGTACCGGTTGACCCTTCATTTTCGAGATATAAAAACTTTGGGATTTTGCAGAATGCCTCCACTGACCAAAAACAGTATCAAGTTGTAAAGAATAACGAATACATTGATCCTTGCAACTTCAAATTGTATCCTAAAGAAAATGGTTTTAATCAATCCATACTATGGAATTCTAAACATTTTAATGATAATAAAAGTTGCAGTCAGTTTCCTCATCTATTTACCAATGTTTCTGATTATCGTCATCGTCGTACATCTGGTCCAGGCATGCAGAATAAATTAACAAACGATCATAGTAGCTTGGAGAATGCATATCATGCTAACAGTATCCCTTCCAGTTATCATCTAACTACCAATACTTCACCAATGAATTTATTGATAAACACTTCCCAAGGCCAGTATACACTTTCAGATAATTGGTGGAATAATTCTTCAGCTTCACAGATTGTAGCCGACCTTTTGAGGGAAACACAAATTTCGGTTTCAGCTAACACTAATATTCCTCCTAAGTCAGCATTATACCAGCCATGGCAATACCAAGAAATGATTCCCTCAGCCAGTAAAAGTCCTTCAGCACCACGCAAAGGTGTTCGCATGCGTGGTGGATATTGTCGTCGTAAACACCCGTCTGAATGTTCAAGAACTCAGCCTAATAATCTTACTTCTATTCAAAATCCAGCCATCTGTCGTGCCCGTAGTTTTAGTTCAGATTTTGAAGATAATAATAACGGTGGTACTCATTCATTAAAATTGCAACTCAATCCTAATTGGCAGTCATCTAGAACAGCCTGGTCAGCACATGATCCTGCAGTATTAAAAAAGAAGTAAGTTAAATCACATTATTTAATGTTTACATTCACATCATCTTACGATGCACCACTGCCTTGTGGATCAGACCTTCAGGTCGAAGGCTCGGGGTGTGGCCCCCTAAGACAACCACCTGTTTCGGTTTGAGCACCCGGGGAGTATCTTAGCCCTCACATATATCGAATGAGATTTGTGTGGCGCATATGTAGTTGGTGTCTCCTTGTACCAATATCTATGTGTTAAAATAAATAAATAAAACCTAAAATAGGTTCTTTGTTGTTTCTGCTCCTAATGTTATGAATGCTTGGCTATTTGCCTACATGGATAAATTATTTTTGGTGGTCTGAAACTTTTGAGTTTTTAAGTCACTCAAGCTTACTCGTACCTTAGGTTATGTGATTTTCAAAAGCACAAATTCATATACTACTAAAAAATATGGGCTTATTTTACTAATTGTCGTCAACCACTTATTATCTCCAGTAATTATAAAATTACAATTAATATTTAATGAAAACATTCGTTTTACCCTTTAGTTATAATATCTCAGCGATACAGCTTGATGAGGACTTACTTTGAAACTCTACTTTGATACTAATACCCGTCTCAATGCGAATGAGAATTTATTGCCAGAAGTTCAGAAATTAACTTGACCTCTTTCAGTATTTACGTTGTTATTTCCATCCCATCGTGCTCATCTGTTATGACAACTTTGGGCGTCTCACATCTCTGACAGGCTCTTCAGATGATTACTGACTGATTGAAGGCCTTGTGGGTAGCCCACAAAGCTTCCTGAAGGAATATATACATATGGTGAACAGAAAGGAGTGATATCGACGGTTGATTAGGTTACCACTCTTCTTGAAGCAAAGTTTTGGAGATATAATTATTTATTTAAACACATAAATATCGGTGCAAAGGGGCACCAGATACATATGCGCTACACAAGTCACTTGATTTGTGTGTAGGCTGTGATACTACCGAGCTGCCCAAGCCGAAGCAAGTGGTTTTCTTAGGGGACACACTGAGAGCTTTCGACCCAAAGGTCTGATCCACAAGGGAGTGGGGCAACGTCAGGAGATGCAGTTTCATGGTAGCCAGTGACCAGTAGTCGGTTCATATTGTATTTGTTCCCTTAGGATCCTGGAACTCATGTGTACCGTTGGTTTGCAACCAAGGTTTTCCACCTCCCCTCTGTGAATCCTCCGCGTCCACCAACCTAGTTAAAGCACTGGACATTCGCTTTTCGTCCTCTCGATTTCGTAAACAACACCCCCGACTCGAGAATACAGTGAGTAGAAATTCCCAGGCAGTGGCTGTATACGCGTGGCCATGTGACAGCATTTCGAGAGGGAGAGCGATCTCTCTCCACCCTCGGCCGTACCAGGGCATCTGGGAGATACAACTAGTAATGTACTACGAGATAGACAAAAGCAGCGAAGAGGACTTTCTACGCGCCTAACATCTATCTGTCATTTTCTAGCCGACCTATGGTGGTTCTTCAGTTATAAGTCACCTGGTTATGCATGCCGCATCTTTGTGTACCTACGAATTCAACTGTTCCTGCATAGTAATCTATATTGGAGAAATAATATGACCGAGACAATACGGGGCTCCGTTCTATCACATTTATTGGATAGCGATTTAATAATGGATAGGAATAAATCATTTAGTCATTTATCGGATACGTACTACTTATGTTTATCGACCTCGTCTCTTCTATTGATCGGAAAGTGTAGGGATTTGTTCGTATTCATAAGAAATTTGTAACTTATCTCTTTCATGACCGAATCAGATTTAGAGAGTAATTTTACTTATCATTTATTATTATTTATTATTTGAACACATAAATATTAGTATAAAGGGGCACCGAATACATATGCGCTACACAAGTCACTTGATTTTTATGTGGGCGGTGATACTGTTTGGGTGCCCAGACCGTTTATTTCTTCTCACTCATTTTTCACGTTTGTTCTCTGTCTAATTATCTGATTCCTTATTACTCAATTTTGATAATTTTTAATGCATCTTATTTCAGTGTCTATTTTTCCAAGTTGTTGACCTACTTCCGATTATAAAACAGTGATCTATTTCGTTGTTATCACTGACTTATAAACTTTATTGATTGGTTCAATATTTTTATACATCCACATAAATATTACTCTAGATTAGCGTGAAGCCTGATGAAGATGTAATAGAAAATAATATCGTTTACTTATATGTTAGTGCATGGGATATGGCAAATTAAACCATTGCACATATGTATCAGGAGTACTTTAAAAGATCATTGTGCTAGATTAATTACTTACACCTCATTTCTCAATTAATGTTATGACGTGCAATAAAAATTAGAGTATCACATAGTGTTAGATTTACCAGTCCCGTTTGTTGGTGTATGGTGCATCCCACAATCTTTCATACTTTCAAGGAACATTAGATGAAAGAGGTGGAAGTAAGAAATGTCTCTTCATAATTATAAAAACCCATTTTATTGAATTACAGTAAAACAAAATAATTTGCGAAAAATTAACGGTTGATGTGCAGCTACTTCTACAAATTACTTATTAAGATAACTATTGTACTGGTTATATTTCGAGTGTCGTGGAAATTGGAAGTCGATTCAAAAAACGTTGCGTATTTGTGCAATATGTATTTCAAGACTTCGGATCAAATATCTTTATATATAAATTTAAGGTCAAGTAACTATAAAGTATACGTTACCAAGTATATATTCACCTCAAATTATGATCCCTTGAACTTGGTCTTTTAATGTATTCATTAAATTTTATTGAAATAGATATTCATATACATTAGTAATTTTAAAAGCGCATTAATTCGGCTCATTTATTTTAGACCTGCTGCATATTTAAGGGCATCATATAGTCAAGGAAATGTTGCTTCTGTTCAGCTTGAATGTAATACAAATATGTAAGTTTCCAAACATTTATTTTAATGTTACGAATTTTTATATACTAAACAATATTGATTATTTATTTATTTTAACACATAGATATTGGTACAAGGAGGCACCAAATACATATGCACCACACAAATCTCATTTGATGATATGTGTATATTGTTTTTTGTGAAAAAAAAACAATATTGAAATCATTTACATAAAACCAATTTTTATATTTCTCTTCGAAGTAGCCTACATCATTCATTTTAAATATCCGCATTTATTTTCCAGCTCTAATAAACTCAAAACTGTTTTCTTACATTTTGTCACGTTCACTTAGTCATGTGAATAGGCCAAAATCTGTGTATCTTAGTTTGTTTTATCTTGCCTTATTACTGGTGAATATAGAAATAAATGCATGTGGCTAGTCACCAATAGTTTCTCTATATGTTGTAGTGTTGTTGAAAAACAATACTCCATTTTTCCTCGTGTAATCCCAAAAGAAGTGGAAAACATACTTCGGTTAGTAGTATTTGTTCATAGATATCTCCGAAGCATTGTTCGTGTTTAGTGAAACCACCGAGTGAGTAGTGTAGTAGTAGTAGTGCACTAAGTACAGATGATCTGTTGATGGATAAGGATTTCTCAAAGCTTAAAAGAAAAGCTTTGATATATAGGGATTCTGAAGTCTAATTAGGTTGGTGTATGTGTAGGTGACAGTTCAGATTGTATTTTGTCCCGATTATATAATTTTATTCACAACCCTAACGGTTGTTGCTAAGACGACTATGAAAATTAATGCACTACCGTTTTTCCTTGAATATCAACATATGTCTTGTTTTTACTTGCAGGAAACTAAATTCAAACAGTCAACCAGATAAATCTCAGCAGTTACCTCTTTCGTGTTCAAACAGTAAGTCATGTAGTCAAAAAGTCAAATCGAACAACACTACTGGATCATCTCCAGACAATCGTTTAGAATGGAATGATACACATACCAAGTCAAATCGTTGTCATCATCATCCACCAAGACGTAATCGTCGTTATATATCGAAGAGCCTTAGTGTTTGCATGGATGGTACAACAACAAACAGTCCAGTCGCTAGTATACTGAACGAGGTATTATTTTATGATTAAAATAAGAGATTGCCTTAGATCTCGATAAATGTTTCTTGCTTATTTACATCTAGTGGTATGCTTTTTTGTGATATGTTTCTTAAACTTTATTTCCTTAAATAAATATTTATCCACTAAATGAAATACATCAAATAACCACCTAAAATATATAGGTGATGTAATTGTAAACGACCTCACAGTTTAGCCAGCCAGGTATTATCATTAGGTGATAGTAAACCATAATTATTTGAGTCTTACCAGTGATTATATCACTCAGATCTTTACATAAAGTCAGTTTTATAAACTTGAGCATAATCGTTTGGTTACAGATTGGGACTCCTCAACACTGCATATGTACTGTGCAATCAGTTTTTCAACCCACATTCTGTGGCTTCATTGGTTCGCTTGCTGATGTCATTCCGTAACAGAAACCATCTTATCACAGTAAAAATCCTCACAACCTACTTAATTATATAAACATAATTAGTCTCCTATTTTTTAACTTCCCAAATGTATTTAATTCCGCCAATAGAGATATATTATAGCTGTATCTGTTATTAAAAATGCTTATTCAAAAGTATGTCGTGAAACTTTAAATTTTACGGCGATCCGCATAGATTTTTCCTGTATCGAAGATTGTTCAATTTAACTAGTAAAGTAAATTTATAACCACTTTTATTTGTCAACCTTTATTCAGGGAATTCCAACAAATGTTCATGCTAATAAAATTAGCGAACCTAAAAACGAGTTTATTACATCAAACTGGCTACTGTTGCCCGATGAATTATGGCTTGAAGTACTACGATATTTAAGTCCAGTAGATCGTGTACGGGTTGCTCAAACTTGTCGACATTTGTCCAGACTTTCAATGGATCGTTCATTATGGCGAGTCATTCATCTTCACCGACAACACCATTTGACTGATGCAGATTTAGTGAGAATTGGGAATCTTAAACCGAAAGAATTACGTTTCACTTATTGTCGTGGTGACGGCCTAACGGCTACAGGTGAGTGAGCGATGTATATGTTGACTTTCAGTTTTTCCTATTAATCATTCTTTGATTTCACGTCTTTTCATAACGAACATGTTTATTAATTACTTTGATATCTGCCTCCATTTCCCGATACAACGTATTTTCGGGTCTTCTTTTCCCTTCGCCCTCAAGATTCCAAGTTAGGGCTTGCCTTATGATCCAGTTTGATGATTTTCAAGGTGTATGTCCTATCCACTTCCAGCTTCTTTTCTTAATTTCTTCAGTTGGAAGCTGTTTTGTTCTCTGCCACAGTAGGTTGTTGTTGATAGTATCCGTACGACGGACATTGAGTATTTTGCGTAGACGATGGTATGTAAATACTTTTAATTTTTGATGATGGTTGTAGTAGTTCCTTACGTTACAGCTTCGTGTAGTAGAACTGTATAAAATATATTTATTCAAGATTTATTCTCGTATTTAACCTATTTACTCTGTTGTTCTCTGACGTGAATTTTGGTGGAGTCTTGTTCTCTGAGCTGGATGGTTTGGTAGTGGAGCTTTCATCGTTCTTCTGAACGACATCATCAGCACAAGCTTCAAATAGAAGTGAAGTGTTCGAATTTCTCCATATGTGTTTCACAGCTTGTGAATAATATACGTGAATTATATACGAGGGTTAGTGGCATGTATATTTCGTTAACATCATACGATCTATCCTGTGTCACGTCAAATAATAAGCCCATGCGATTGTCTAAGATGTGGTCCCCTTTTCTAAGCGTTAGCGGGACATAGACTGGATTAAAGCATGCTCAATGCACGATGGCTTTGGTGCACGCTGATTGGCTAATTCTTATCCAATCAGCACTAGCCGGTAGTTGAAGAATACTCTAGAATCTCATGTAAAAACTATAAACATATTGACGTTTTTCCCTATTGTGCAACTTACTTCCATTTAACCTTGTTATTTGGAATATAATCTCTTTCCTGTTCAACCGTGTTCTGATTTGGGGATTTGTCGAGTGAATCGGTGTCCGAGGATACTAAGCAATAGGAAAAGCTGGGTCATAACCGTAAGAAAAAGATCATAACACTCAGGAATAAGGTACAGCCCATTCGTGAAAGAGTGACCTAACTTCCTAAAGTATATATATATATATATATATATATATATATATATATTTAGTGTACAGTTATCCTTCGATCCGGTTAATCAATAAAAAATTTGCTTATCAGTATCGGAATTTGAAACAACTGGATTTAAATCTGTAACGTAATGGGTCGGTCAGTCAACCCATTGCTACACTTTCAAATTTCCAAGATCTTACATAATGGTTTTATTAATTCGACTCTGTACTTCATAATATCTTAATATATGACTTTAATTTTGTGATATGTATGAGATTTGACTTAAACTTGTCTGAATATCACTGGGGGTTGAATAATGGTCCTATTAATAGTAGATTCAAAAACAAAGTGTGATTATTTCTACTGTCTTGTTTTTTTATATTTCTCTTAAAAGTATAGTTTTATGTAATTGAAATATTATTCTACATACATGCGAAGATGTATTTGTAATATTTTCTTTTCTTCACCACACTAGGGTTAAAACGCATGTTTCTAGTTTGTGGTCCAGGATTACAAAAACTATCATTAATCGGTTGTACTAAAGGACCATTTGATCAAGATCTACCATTGAGAATAGTTGCTGATCATTGTCATAATTTACAACATGTGAATGCAAGTTATACTCAATCAGTACGTGATCAAACTGTGATTGCTCTAGCTAAATCTGCCACGCATTTAATTAGTGTAAAATTGAATGGCGCCCAACAAATAAGTAATGCTGCTATACAACAATTGGTTCATTATCATCAAAATACTCTTGTAAGTAATTAAGAACAGTAGGAAAAATTTGTAAATGATTTATCTATTTATTTATTTAGAAAGTAGTAATTCATTTTGTTTTTGATTCAATGTTTAACAAATCAGTCGATATTTAGATGAAAATATTGATGTAATAGGAGGATCTGTTAATCTAGTTATTCGAGCATACAATTGATGAAAACCATAGCCCACTTACTTTGACTCAACCGGCTTTATGGTTTCTCTTCTTTTGCAGAAATAACTGCACTGTAAAATCCTGCATCTTGTTAATGAATTGCATTAAATGGTGGAACAGCAACTTGGTGGTTAAAACATTTGACTCTCAACTACTGGATTCCAAGTTCAGACCTTACTTTACACATCTCAACCTAAACAACCAATTAGTGTCACTGGGCCTCGTATATAAATTGTAACTAAATTTCGGGCACAAAATCTTGTGCTCTATTTTCGAATCAGAGTTAATTAGAATGTTTATGCAATTGTTATTTCGATGCAATCAGTTAGACTTGTGACCATCGTCACTGGCTACCATAGGACTGCACCTCCTGACGTTGCTCCATTTCCTTGTGAATGAAACTTCCAAGTCAAAAACTTGGATCGTGTGCCCTAAGAAAACCACCTACTTCGGTTTGGGCACCCGAGCAGTATTCCAGCCCTCACACAAACCGGATTATGGATTAAGACGCTTATCTATTCGGTTTCTACTTGTACCCATGTTTATGTGTTTTAATAAAATAAAATTGGTAAACTATCCAATTACTCAGATTAAAAAATAACCAGATTATGTAACATATAGGACCAATTATAACGTGACACATTGTCATCTGAGTTAAGAACAGTATGACTTCATCCGCTTCTTTTTCAGTGTCGGATTAATATTCTAACTACAATCACCATATGTATTAGTTATAACTAATAGGTCATACAGTCATACAGTTCAGTGTATCTAATAGTACAAAAATTTCCCATCTTCACTACATATCTGCATCATTTTTAGTTGTTTGTTTGTACGCCCCACAATGGTAGTATTTCTCGATCTTAAGGCGGCATTCGACTCTGTTGACCGTGAGGTTCTATGGCAGTGTTTGTCACTGAAAGGAGTACCAAAGAAGTACATTAACCTTATAAAGGCTCTCTACTCGAACACAACTGGTAGAGTGAGAGCTTATGGCGAACTGTCATCAGAATTGATTACCTCAAGTGGTGTTCGTCAGGGCTGTCCACTCTCCCCATTCTTGTTCAACTTTGTGGTCGACGTACTTTTAGAGATAACACTCTGCTCATCTAAATTTCCGGGGGTTGAACTTCTACCGGGAGGTTCACTTGTTGACTTAGAATATGCAGATGACATAGTTTTATTTGGTGAAGACGCTGACAAAATGCAGTCTTCTGACCACTCTAAGCAACAATGCAAGCATGTTCGGGATGCAATTCTCTCCCTCGAAATGCAAAATGTTGCTTCAGGATTGGGTTACATCGACACCCGAACTAGTGATAGGGAGTGAAGTAGTTGAGTGTGTCGACCGCTTCACTTATCTTGGAAGTCTCATCAGCCCTTGTGGTCTGGTGTGTGACGAAATCTCAGCACGGATACAGAAGGCTCGACTAGCTTTTGCCAACTTGCGTCATTTATGGCGTAGGCGAGATATCCGTCTATCAACCAAAGGACGGGTTTACTGTGCAGCAGTACGTTCCGTTCTACTTTATGGAAGTGAAACATGGCCGGTAAGAGTAGAGGATATTCGTAGGTTACTAGTATTTGATCATAGGTGTCTTCGAAGTATTGCTCGTATTTCCTGGGACCACCGAGTAAGTAACGCAGCTGTTAGGAAACGGGTACTAGGTGAGGATGGCAAATCAATTGATGAAGTAGTGAAACTTCATCAGTTGAGATGGCTGGGACACGTGTTACGTATGCCCAACGACCGACTACCTCGACGTGCTATATTCAGTGGTATAGGAGTAGGTTGGAAGTAAGCTAGGGGCGGCCAAACCAAAACATGGCACAAATCCATGAAGTCACTGACAAGTGGACTGAGTCATGTTGGTAGGTGTAGACTACCTGGTTGGTGACCGCGAGATGATAGCAACCGATGGTTAGAGACCCTGAATGACATGGCTCAAAATCGTTTGCAATGGCGCAGGTGCATCCACTCTTTGTGTTCTCCCAAATTCTAATCTTCTGAATTTTTCATGTCCCTTTTTTCCTCTTTCCAAATTGATTTCATTGGATTATACTCCTTGAATAACATCTCCAAACCCTAATCCTCCCGATTACTGCTTACACTCTTGCTACCTCTACCACTACGGGATTTGAATCGACTACTGCATCTCTGTGCTAATGTGGTATGGCAACTCGAACTGATGTACGTACGTACTTAGTTCTACGTTGTTACTGACTGACTGACTGTTTGTTTGTTTGTACAGAAGTATCTTTACGGATATTCGTTGTTCTATATGAACTCTAAATTTAAAATATGACATTAGTCTCTACAATATCTATATACAATCATCTATAGTATATTACGATTTTGATTGAACTAGGAATGAAATATTTCACCAACAAAGACAAACTTATGGCAAAAGTCCGGTGTACAATTAAGATCACATGCTCTCTTCAATAAAATCGAGTATCTTTGATGAAAACTAATTGATATAAATTGGTTTTTGTTATGAAAACTCGTAATAGGACTGCATCACTGCGAAAGACTAGAGTTTTGTTTGATTAGTTTAAACATCATACTTTTAGCTAATTAGTTACTATTTTGAAGTCATCTAATTAGTATAATTATCTGTCAGCGTCTGTGACAAATTAATAATACATGGACACTGATGTGGTTGTCGAGATACTTATTGGTCCATCAAGTTATTGATTGTTAGCCTTAATCTTGTGGAAAAGTGTAAACTTGGTTGGGTTCAGCTTGATAATCGTAGTCTGTAGTGAAAGATACTTTTGATTACATGACTCAATTATCGGCTACAATAGCGAAGATATGTATTAACTGGTTATCTTTCACCTTAGATTTTGACTTTTAACATTTTTTAATGCGTTTTATGTCTTCTGTAATGTTACATAATAATTAGTTTTGTGTGGCGAATATGATTGGTAAAATCTGTTTAGGTGTCTTCGAAGCATTGCTCGTATATCCTGAGACCACCGAGTAAGTAATGCCGTTGTTAGGAAACGGGTACTAGGTAATGATGGCAAATCAATCGACGAAGTAGTGAAACTTCATCAGTTGAGATGGCTGGGACATGTGTTAAGTATGCCCAATCACCGACTGCCCCGACGCGCTATGTTTTGTGTTGTAGGAGTAAGTTTGAAGAAAGCTAGTGGCGGCCAGAACAAAACATGGCATAATTAATGAAGTCACTGACAAGTGGACTGAGCCATGTTGGTAGGTGTCGACTACCTGGTTCCGGGGATCCGCAAGACGATAGAAACCGATGGTTAGAGACCTTGAATGTCGTGGCTCAAAATCGTTTGCAATTGTGCAGGTACATCCACTCTTTGTGATCTCTCAAATTCTAATCTGAATTTTTCATGTCCCTGTTATTTTCCAAATTGATTTCATTGGATTATACTCCTTGAATAACATCTTCAAACACTAATCTTTCCGATTACTGCCTATACTCTTACTACCTCTACCACTACGGGATTTGAATAGACAATTGTATCTGTGTGGTAATGTGGTATGGTAACTCGAACTGATGTACGTACCTACGAAGTTCTACGTTGTTACTAACTGAATGTTTAAAAACAAAAAGTATTAAGACATTGAAATATTGATAATAGTTCTCTGTCTTTCAAAAACAAACAAACATGATTAGTTAGTTTGCATGAGACAGCTTTTATTTTCACTTAGTACGTTTATTATAAACACACACATATATATGAACAATGTGTTGTACTTGTTTATACTACTTTAAATATCATCTATTAACGTAATATCAATGTTATATCCTACCATCGTTTAATTTAATATTTGTAGTTTTGTAAAACACATCACTACTTCATGTGATATTAACATTCTTTATTGATACATAAACATTTCATTAGGATTAAATAAATCATAGACATTGTCTAATAAGAAAAAACAAACAATGTAATCCACTGTTTTAACTACAATTGTAAATATTGTTATATCTTAGTGAAGATTAAATTACGGGTAACTTCCGAGGACTATTAATGGACTAATATTCTGTAAATATTCTTATTGTATAATTAGATTATGTGTATTTATATTCCTCCTATTATAAGCTTCATGTTGACCTATAATTTATTATTATACGATTTACTGCCCCTAAATTATGCTCAGTTTATTAACTACTATCTCTCACATTCACAGCCACTTTCTGACTTTATTGTGTATGAATGTTATTTCCTATTTTATGGTGCATTGTGGTCTGTTTGATTGATATATAAACCCAGTATGTCTGAAATAAATGATTCAATTCGCATAGTGGAAGGTGGTATTACTGTTCTGTACTCAAGTGGACGAGCTAGGCGGACATAGGGCCAATAAGGACGCTAGGCTGCTCATACCGGTCGAACATCATTGGTTTGACACAGTGCTAAGATTGTATAAGTCATATTTTGATTGGTTTATAAATCACATGGTAACTAGCCGGACATAAAGTCATAACAAATATTACATAATGAAATTGTTCACGAATGCTTATTTATCATTATTTTGTTTTGTTTTATCATTAATGTTAATGTTAATTTTGTTTTTATTTTTATTTTTTAATTATAAAAGGAGCGTTTAGAGTTGTTTGGATGTTTTCGTTTAAATTCAAGTATATTGGCTTTATTGGGACAATGTCAAGAATTGAGAGCACTAGCATTTGGACATCTTCATCATTTATCTTCGGATGGTTTATTAGAACTTGTCAGCAAAGTAATCTAGATATGTAACATTGTTGTATAACTATTAATCCCAGTTTTGAACCGCTTATTTCCCTCACATTAATCTACTTTGCAACTTGACCTCCACACAGCCTGATCATGTCATTAACCTTCAAAATTAAGTCTACTGTGTCGTTTTGTCTTTTGAAAGGAAATAACTGGACGAGATTACTATATGGTAGCAGAAACAGTTCGGTGAAGAAAAATACGACTTGAAAAAATCCTTTCGGTTCCTCTCGTTTTTATAAAGAGAGAAAATGAAATTGCTGTAGGACCACTACTTGTTTCTATTCTGAGTCATGTCCGATAAAATCTCAAGCCATTGGGTTGCGCTATCTTTCGAACCCGAACAGGATGTCCTGATGAATCGATAGATCCCAGTCCTATACAGCATTCTTTCATACCCCGACACCATATCATAAATTGATCACTTCTCGGCTTTTTTCAAATACTCTCTGTGTCGAGAAATAATGCACTATATGAAAGTTTATAGTAGGATATTCGTAGCATTATTATCAAGTCGCCGATGTCGGTGTTTCAATTTAGTAGTATTAAATGGATTGTCATCACCGTGCCCAAACTCACATTGCCGAACCTCTGTGTTGCTAACGTAGTGCTGTCAATGAATGTTAGTAGTCCTCTGGATTTAACGATTATTGCCTCATCCTTAACTCGGGAAAGTCGGATTTTACGAGCATAAAAGAAAAGTACTGTCACCGCCGCTTTGTAGGTGCAAATTTTTACAGCCAGAGTAACATGTTGATGGAGCCAAAGATGGTCCAAATGAGCATAAGCCGCTCTGGCTTTACTATACATGGATATCTATTTCTTTTGATACGCCACCCCCATCACATTGAGTTTAGTTCATAGCATTTTACCTATAAAATGATTGTCTATTTATTTTATAAGCAATCCATATTAGTACGTTGTGACTCTAGGTTTAACTTTCGTATTCAAACTATTTGAAGTAACTGTGTTTAACACTTTTACAACATACTTATTTCGACTATCTTCTGTTCACTTTATTCCAAGAGAACACTTTCAAGAACATCGTAATTTACTATGCTAACTTATAAAATAAATTTTGTTTGTAATCTATAAGTTGTTAACAACCTCTGTTTATGGGATGCTACATTTCCAATCCCTTCCCATTCAAGGATAATTCAATTGTCCTATGAAACAGACGTACATAAAATAGTATGAGTAGTAAGGCATAGACTTATTGGTTAAAAAGAACGCGTTCTTCTATCATTCAGTTATAGATTCAAATCACACTCTACCTACTTTAGAAGTTTCATAAGGTCTGGTGGCATGAAATCAGCTAAAATTCCGTCATGGATTCAGAAAACTCGATTGACTTTTGGCAATCTGTCACGTAGAAGAGATTCCCATCTATCAACAAAAACCTTATTATTCTATTCAACAGTTCGACCTAATTTTGTTAATGACTGTAAAATATAGCATTTATAAGTTGAAGACATTCGTAGGTTATTATTATGTGATCGTAGATACCTCCAACGTATGTTGGAACCACTAAATAAACAATGTGGAGTTTAGTTGCAGTCTTTCAGAATAATCGTCATCATGAGTTTGTCGTTTTTACTACCGCTTATTCTACCACCACTACTTTGCTTGCGATCTTGATAGTTTCGTCTTGCTGTACTCATATGGTCCGGCAATTTGAACTGATGATCATATGTAGCAGGTTCTACGTCACTTATGACTGACTGCCACTATGATTACTTTAGTTTCAACCTTTAAGCTTCGCTATTACTTACACAAAAGCTCATAAATAACTCGTATCCATGAATCTCTGTTTGGTTAATGGGTCACGTCAAAAAGTTCAAGTTACCACACATACAAAAATGAGTTAGCTAAAGGAGCGTTAAAATAAACTCAAAAACTGAACACCAACAAGTGTCTGTGTATTTGTAATCATTTAGTGCCTTTTTATGATTGCTTTAATCAAATAGTGTTTAATGGCAAACTAAATTTCAATCTTTAGAGTAGGTGGTAATTCCTTTTTATCTTTTTTTCTCCTACAGCTACCTCATCTTTCTTCACTTGATCTACGAGGAACACAAACTTTCAGTGATGATAATAATCTTTCTCAGTTAGCAGCCAAATGTCCTCATTTAGAAGAAGTTGTTTTAGCTAATATGCATTCTTTAAAACGTGAAACTGGGATTGCCCAAATGTTACGCCGTTTGCCTCGTTTGCGTGTACTCGATCTATGTGGACTAGCCGCCGTTGGTGATTTAACTATGGAGGTTTTAGCCACCAGTTGTCCTCAACTAGAAGAACTTGATGTCAGTTGTACTTCTGTTACCCAAAAAGGGTAAGTCAATGAAGTTATTTCTTTTATAGTTTATATTTTGTTTTGAATGAAAATCCTGTCTGTAACGGGTGTGTAATATAATTAAGATATGTGTTATTTTCATCTTTAATTCATTTGTGAATCCTTGAGGTTGTTGGTAAATTTTACCAACTCTCTTATAGCTTTAAACTGCTACATGGTTACGTGCAACGACTAGATTTTTAACGCCATTTGGAATTTAGTTTCTTCAATAGAATTGAATTCAAAGGTTTGTGTATATGTGTTGATATTGATATTGAGTACAAACGTGTTATTTATGAGGTCCTAAATTTATAATGATAAACAGGTATGGATTGTTAAATGAAATAATAAAATACTGGTTAATAGATCATTAGCATTGATACCATATGACGAAATAGCAACTGCTTACGAGACCAGGTTATTGTTATAAACTTTCAGTGTACTGTTATCAAACGGATAACTAACTAGCAATTGGTCATAATACACACAGGCCCCCAAATGCCCTGGTACGGCCTAGAGTGTGGAGAGTCCGTTCTCCCTCTCCAAATGCTCTCACGTGGCCACGAGCATATAGCCTCTGCCAGGGAAGTCCTACTCACTACCTACTCGTGGCGGGGATGTTGTTTACAAAAATGGGAGGACGAAAAGCGAATGTCTGTCGCTTTAACCGGATTCCAAACCAATGGTGCACATGGGCTCCAGTATCCTGGAGAAACAAATAGCGTATGAACCAATTGTTGGTCACCGGCTTCCATGGGACTGCATCTTCTTACGATGCTCCACTGCCTTGTGGATCAGACCTTCAGGTCGAAGGCTCGAGGAGTGGCCCTCTAAGAAAACCACCTGCTTCGGTTTGAGCACCCTGGCAGTATTTTAGCCCTCACATATATCGAACGAGATTTGTGTGGCGCATATGTAGTTGGTGTCTCCTTGTACCAATATCTATGTGTTAAAATAAAAAAATACACACAAACCTTGATTGATTTAAATGTGCATTAGTCCGTATTACCATACCACACTATTTTGACAAGATGAATAGCAATTGAGTTGCAACAATTGTAGCACCAATTAACCTCTAGACCACGGACCCTGCACTTAACGATGTTAATATCTAAGATTAATTAATTAGAAGTGATCACTCACGCTTCGATGAATGAATATTTAAGTGTTGAGCTTTATTGGTCTGCATCATATCACGAGGTCACTAAAAAGAATAGGGAGCTGAAAAAAGTTTTCTTTCTTTATCGGTAATAAATAACAGTTGGGTTTGTTATTCTGGGACGGTTTTCTATTAGTATACTGGAAGAGATTCTGTCTTTAATAACCTCATTTGAACATGAATTTAACTAATCATACGAATTTTACTGGGTTTTCAAATGACTATGATTTACAAATAGATTTGGTACTATTAACATTGTTATTGATTTATAGGGTCGTTTATCTAATGTTCTTTTATAAGGTCAGATCTTAACTCATTAATTACACTGGATTTTTTGAATCAATATCATATAGCAAAACGTTCAGTTGGGACCGTAGGTTAATCTCCAATATATCAATAAGACTGTTTTGATTCTTAACCAAGTGAAAAATATTAATGGCTTTAAAGATCTGACAAGTTTTTGAAATAGAGTAAATTTTGCTTATTCTATTATTAAAATAAACTCATTCAAATACTTTTGAATATCTCTGTCTCATACCACTCGATCAAATTCATTCTAACCGTTTAGATAAAATCAAAATACTGAAATTAAATTAATAGATCTTCTTTACCAAGTTCCAACTATCAAGATTGATTGATGCTCGATTCTTAGTCGAATAGCTTATCAAATTCTATAAAGTACAAGTTATTTTTTAAAATGTGTTAGCCTCATCTGAATTACTCTTACTTCCCCAAATGCCCTGGTACGGTTGAGGGTAGGGTGATTCAACTCTTTCTCTCAAAATGCTCTCACATGACCACACGTATACAGACACCAACAGGGAAGTCTTACTCACTGCCTTCTCGCATCGGGGGGTGTTGTTTACGAAATTGAGAGGACAAGTAGCGAGTGTCCGGTGTTTTAACTGGGTTGGTGGATATGGAGGATCCACCTAGGGGAGTTGGGAAACCCTGAGTTCAATGCAGTGGTGGACATGGGCTTCAGGATCCTAAGATAGCAAATGGGATAGGAACCCATGGTACTGCATCTTGTGATGTTGCTCCACTACTTTGTGAGTTAAACCTTCGAGTCAAAGGCTTGCTCAGTGGTCACTTAATATCACCTGTTTCAGTTTGGGCACCCAAGCAGTATCACTACCCTCACATAAATCAATGATAACTACTACTGGCCTCATTGCTATTGTGTGGCGCATATATATTTGGTGCCCTCTTGTGTCAATAAATGAATACCGCAAAAAAGATGTAATCCCGATTCTTTTAAGCAACGAAGTTCAAGACACAACTCTCAAATTGTTACTATTACAGTTCAATCAGCCATACCACTTATCTGTTGTGGAGAAAAAAGTGTCAGCTAATCAATTTAGCGTTGATGTTACGACTGTACATGAATTTCTATAAGCATATAGGCCAAATCAATAGATTTTCTCTCAATTTTATGTGCTCATCTATTGATTAAGACACTACAGTTAACCTGTCATTCTTCAACACTGGAACTGTATATCCGCAGTGCTGTAAATGTCATAACTAAAACATGTTTATAACAAGCTGGATATTTAGTTGTTTTCCGACGGTGACGACTTACTACCTAAAGGGAATCGCTTCTTCAGCAAATAAGCAACTTAACTGGTAAGAACCAATTAAATTATATCTTCAGTAAATACATGGTAATAAGTTGAAAGAACTTGTTACTGTTGTGTTATTTAAGTCAAAAGTGTTTGTGTATGATATAATTTTAATATCTGTAAGTGTGCATTTGAGTGATTGTGTATTTTACGATACGAATACACGATTGGGTTTGTACACGTGTTTATGATTTAGACTTGATCAGGTTACATTATGTGGTTATGTAGATGTTTGGTCGAAGCTGGTCAGATAAGAAGGGCTTCATTCTTTTGTTACATACAATAGGACTTTTTACATCATATATTGCGCTTCAATACTTTCCTTGCATCTCCAAAGTCCTTTTGGATTATTTACTTATCCTAAATAATAGGTACTGATAACCGTTGAAATTCTGTTGTACAAGTTTGGTCAAATTTTTGTGTAAGATTTTCTCTCTCCGCATGTTTATTAGTTTGTTTGTTATGACAGGAATCAGAATTTTACAAGAGGATGCGTCAGTGAAAAAGTTTTGCAATTTAATTAGTAAATATTGTTCTCTTTCTCTCTGCTATCTTGCTGGACGTATGCACCTAAATACACAGTTCAGTCTAACAGTTATTTACTTAACGAACTGATATCATGTCCTGTTCTCCCTGTCTCTATACTTTTTCTTCCACACTTAATATTTACTACTTATACTGCTGATTATGTTACTACTTTTTCATTTATCTCGCTGTGCTAATATCGTATGGAAATTTGAACCGATGCACCTATTTGTCACATTCTATGTCGTAGATGGCTAACTGACTGACTGTTTGTTTTTTGTCACTTTTCTAACTTCTCCGTACTATGTAGCATACAACATCAGTCCTGGTGACTGAATGTGTTAAAATTACCTCAGCCGCCCAAGGTTCACAGCTTCATTAACTGAATTACTGGATTTATAGTGTACGTTTAATCTCGACATAACTTTCTCACGGGTTCTATTGTACACAAACGAGTAAAATAAATCTGTTAACAATCATAAGAATAGTTCAAAAATGTACTTGACATCATATTATCACAGTGAAAAGATTGGCTTAGTGTTTATTCCATACACTGCTCTGTGTATGTATGATATACCTACTTATGTGTCATTTTCTGAATTGTTTCATGTTATATATTGGTGTTATTAAATGAATCACTTCACTTTTTATCTTTACATTTCCAGTTTATTCCATCTAACAAATGCTCCTGCAGTATGCTTAAAATGTTTACGAATTAGCCATTGTAGAGAAATAACCAGTGATGTTCTTGAAAAGTTGATTGAAGCCTGTCCTAAGTAAGTTACAATGTTAGTATTATTCCGTGTTTACATATTAACAATAATAATAATAATAAACGGGTAGGGTTAATAATATTGCTTTTCCCCAACATCCAACTTAAATTATCATTAAGCTTGGAATGATTAAAATATTGGGTTACTACTGGTTCACAGTGGTGTAAGATTGGTATATCATATTAGATGGATAAATATTCTGTTTCATATAACTATGGTGATTTCTGTTTATTCAGAACAATCGTAAATGAATTCCCAATTAAACGTCTACTGTATATAGGATGGCGACTGTGTTGTTTCACCGTACGGTTTAATGCTTAAAAGTAACTTTTGTACACGATATATATCAGTCAGTCAGCTAAAATTTAGGACCAGGTACATATATACATCGGTCCAAGTTGCCGTACCTCATTAGCACAACGAGATAAACACTAAATTCATAGAAGTAGTTAATTCATTGATGGTAATATATAAAAGAAAGGTTGCATATAAGGATATAGTACAGGAAGGAAGAATTCGTTCCTAGAAAGAAAGATAGAAACCATTTTAATGTCGGTTTAAGGGAAGATAAAGAGTGTATGTACCTACGCCATGTGATCCATTCTGAGCTATGTCACCCAGAGTCCCCAACCATTGGTTGCGATAGTTACGCAGAACTCAACCAAGTAGTCTGCATCTAGCAACATGGCTCAGACTAGAAGTTAGTGACTTCAAGCACTGATTCCACGTTTTGGTTTGGGTGCCCCTTAACTTTCTTCCAACCATCCCGAACATCGGTTAGCATTGCACGTCGTGGTAATCGGTGTTCAGGCATACATAACATGTGGCCCGACCATCTCAGTCGATGGAGATTCACAACCTTATCAACTGATTTACCATCATTCCCTAATACCCTGCATCTAACCTCACTATTATTTACCCGGTAATCCCAGCGGATGTTGGCAATATTTTTAAGGCATCTGTGGTCAAATACTAGTAGTTTACCAGAATCTTCTACCCTTAATGACCAAGTTTCGCAGCCGTAAAGGTATAACAAAACAAACTGCTGCACATTGTCCTCGTCCCTTAATTGATAGACGGATATCTCGCCTTCGCCATAGGTAACATGATATAATTAAAAACTTATAGCATATCTTTAATAAAATTGTCTTTTAAGAATTTATCTGAAAATGGATATTTCTCTGGGCTTAACTCAGTTAATTAAACAATCTAGATTAAATTACTATAGAAAACTGTACTAATTATTTGTGGTTTTAAATCCTTAACTAATTCCACTTATGTAAATGTATGTAACCTTGTAAGACTACCATATTTATTTATCTTCTCTTTCTAGGGGTTATATATATGTATTCACTAACTAATTTGTTTAAGTTCACTTTATATTTCACTGCTTACACTCATTAAAATGAGAACAAAATAAGTACAACCATTTAGTTGGGTTTTTTTCAACGTCAAAAGTAAGATGAGACAGAAGCTCGAAACTATCAAAAAGTACTGAATTCAGTATTCAACTTTTACATTCAAGCTCTAACTAATCAGTAACCATTACAGTTCAATGAGATTGATTTTCTTCACAAGAAATTAAGGAAGTGGTTTGAGTTTCTGGGGTCTGATAAAGACCACAAGTCCTGGGTTCGAGTCCAGTGTGTGGGTTTGTAAGTGCTCACTGCTCAGGGGTCCTATACTAGACCTTCTAGGTTTTCAATGGTGATCTAGCTTAGATCCACTCGTGATTTCAACCGTGAAAATATATAAACTTCATAATTTATCATAGGCTATTGTTTATGCTTAAATTATTTAAAAATAAAAAGGTGATGAAATATAGAAAAAATATTGGGTCAGATTTTCACAACAAAATAATTATTTTGCAATGTGTTCTTTTTAAATATGAGTTACACCTTACTGACGTAATATATAACAGGGTTTCCTGTCGACTACCACTGTTCATATCAACATAGTGCATGCGATGTCGAGTCACCCAGACTAGTGGCCACATTGCAAGGTAATCGATAGAATTCGATTTGTATTAAGAAGGAACTAACACACATGACATTGGTCACTACCCAATGATCAATCAATTATAAATGAATTATTCATATTCCACATTTGTAGTTGTGATTTTTGTTGTAAACGTGATTTTAAAACTTACTGTCTGATAAAAGACAAAGTAAAATGCATTTGTGTGATTATAGCCTCTTATCACTCAACATCTCAAACCATTGATGGCAATAATCTCACGAACTCTAGTCACGTATTGTAAACCTACTTATACTGCACAGTCCGACTGTGGGTGATTTCATGGACTGATTCCACATCTTCATTCAATCTCACTCTTATATCAGTCAACAAGCATCGTACTTAGATTTTAAGAAGTAAAGCAAATTTAACCACTCTACATTAATCTCATTATTATTGTTAGTATTTTTTTTACAAAGTTTTTGTTGATTACATAACTTTTTAGATTAACATTATTGTACGCTTATGGATTTGTTTCCATTAATGATTGGGGCTTCCTTCAAAAAATACGTCCTACTTTATTAGTGGAGAAAGGTATTTAACCCAATCCATCAATTTGATGATTATTGCATATTGAATTTTATAGAGAAGTAAAATTATAAAAAATTAATACCATTAAAATAGTAATGAGTGTGCAGTTAGTAAAAATACTCATCAACAAAATAAATGAAAAAAAAAACAACAACATACTTTAATCAAATTCCCCTTCTCTTTTTTCTTGACTACATTTTAATCTTATTCTATTCTGTTAAATTACTTACTTGTTAACGTCTGTTGCCCCTCGTGGAGAAGCATAGACCACCTACCAGGATGACTGTACTACTATTAATCATAAATTATAAAATGAAAAAAAAACAAACAAACATTAAATATCAATAAATTCACTTTCAAAAAAAGAAAGAACGAAACAAAAAGGTACTTTGATCCAAAAAGAGAATTTTTCGTTTATCTTCTTTACATAAAAACCCCTCATATACCTTGTAAATGAGTTATCTTAGTTCCGGTGAATTTCTGCACTGTTCCAATGAGTAAGTGTTTTTTTATTCAGTTTGTTTGTTTTTATGTGTGTGTGTTGTTGTTGTTGTACTTTAATACTAATATTAGTAATCTTTGTAATTATTTATTTTAGTTTGTATAGTTCAGTTGACTATTATCACCTACTTAAGTGTAATTTATCATTTACTATTCCATTCATCATTGGATAATATTTACAATAATACAAAATTAGTTGATAATGTAATTATATACACTTATTATATTACTGCTTACTTACTTAAATAGATAGATAGATAGATACGCATTTTCTCCCCTTCCCCCCTCCTTTGAATTGCTCATTCCATCATCATCTCTATAATCTTTCTACGTTTGTTTTCCTTCTTCTTGTTGTTTTATTAAATTCACTAATAATGTTTTATTTAAATAACAATATTTTAATCTTATAATTGTTACCTTAATTCTTCTTTATATAGTAAACAAATTCATTTCAATTCGTATTATACATTACTTATTTGTTTGTTTATTTATTTCAAATACCCTTTACATACTACTTATTTAGATTTATTAATTGTTTATCTTAAATAAATAAATCAATAAATTTTATTAAAAGAAAATTTGATAACACTACAATCTTAATAATCAGGATGATGTGTCTATTATTGATTGATTGATTGATTAATGGTTATCATTTCATGATCCTAATTTATTGTTTGTTTGTTTGTTTTTTGTTATTGACGAAAGGGTACGTATCTATTTAAAGTTTATATTCATGTTTAATCAAGTTTAATGGAATTGAAAAGGAAAGATATAGATTATCTAATTAATTCTAATATTAATCAACCAAACACACACACACACATATTCTTTTCTTCCATTCATTTTTAGCGGGTTATTATCATTATTATTATTACTCTTATGATCATATAAAGAACTATTAGTTGCTGTTGTTGTGGTTGTTGAATGCACTTTGTCCAGTGAAACATTCATGATATCAAACTGTAACAAATTTTGTTCTTTTCAATCTTTTGTTTGTTTCTCATACATTTCTTTCTTCTTCTTAACCTGTTATACAATTCACTTGTATGTATTGTATATTTTTATGATGATGATTATGATTACTTTCATCATTATCTGGACAAATAACATGGTATCGTTAACAAAATCCATTGTATATTGTTAAACAATGTTTGTTGTTCATTTGACTTTATGTCATATTCTATTCCATTATCGTTTTGTTTTGTTCGTGCTTAACTCGCTCTTCTCTTGTATAATCGGATTGCTACAATTTCTTTTCCCTAAACTTATTACCTGGTGGTTAGTTGTGCATCTAATTATCTATTTTTACATTCGTTTGTTTTTCACCATGATTGATTAAATCCTTTCAATCACTATATATACATTGTAATTAAGGCAGTGTTAAACATGAAACAATAATATAAGTTTTTAAACATAAACTAATATTATTACTCACATTGTATATCGTATTGGTTATTACATAATTTCAATATACATAATTATATTACTATTATCATTGTGCTTATTAGTGTTAACACATACTTATTTACTTCTTTATACATAAGTAGTTTCAGTCTTTCGGCTAATGTTTACTTATTGTCTTTACTGTTGTTCTTGTTATTATTATTGTTGTTGTTTTGAAAAAAAAAACACAAAACAAAACATTTAAATGAAGTGAGAAAAGGCTTCCAGTTGCAAAAAAAGAGAATTAACCTTTTAGATTGATTCTGTTCTGTTTTCTTCTTTTTTTCTTCGGAATAACGATATTTGTTTGTGTTTTTTTCTTTCTTTCGTATTAAAAGTTCTTTAATATGAATTAGATGGTATAATAAGCTTGTTACATAAGTTCTTAAATAGTTTAACATTTATCCATAATAGTCATTAGTTGAAGTTGTTGTACTTAACATCATAACAAAATGAACTGAAATAAACATACATGGAAAATAAGAAACTAAGCATGAACTATTCACATGGTGTTGTTTTACTTATATCTTCCCTTTAATGTTTAGGACTGCAATTGATCAGCCTCTTGTTGGCATATGTGTATCCTGTGCGGACCACCTCGATATTGCCTGAAGTCAGAAATCAGTAGCTAAATGGATAACGCGGTAGCATTTGAAGCAAACGGTACTGGATTCGAGTTCCACAGTGATTATCAACGCGTGGATAAAAGTACATTCAGCTGACGAGTCCCAAATAGGACGAAACGCGCGTTCAGGATTCCACTATACTAGCCACTATCCATCTCTGCTTATAGGCATGAAGTATATATAGCTTGTGATTAAAGCGTTAACCTTGTTTAGGAACTATTTATATCAAATGAAGTCGTACAGATGAAGATTTATTAGAGTCGTATGGTACAAATAATTTCCCTGGAGTGTGATCAGTTGTCGACAGTATCATCTACCCGTTCCTTGTACTCATATATTACATAAGACTAGTCATAATAGTTCTGTGAATCGTTCCTATTTAGTGTGCCGAACATACTTAAATCTCATTTCTGATTAAAGATTTAAGTAAGATACTAGTTAAAAATGTAGCAATTAAATCAATGTCACATGTTTGTTGTCGTATTAGTCAATAAAATTGCATCAGTTAACTTTATTTCTTCCAACATTTGTTGATTCTTCTAGCACATAATAGTATCATTCAATTTTAAAGCATTATTTTACATTCGGACAGTGAATAACTTACAAATAATTATATATCATCAACATTTTCTGTATAATAAACTGAAGTCAACGTGTAAATATTTGTCCGATAGCACTTCGCTTAACTAACCCAGGTAATAGTTTCTCATCAGAAATGTTCAATTACAAAGTACTTTATGACGTTAATATAAACATGAAGAAAATAAGTAGAATACTGGAGCCCGATGGCTAATGAATTTATTAAACAACCAGTGTATGGCATTTTCATACTTATCACATAAACCTGTCACTCAGTTATATACGACAGAATTCCTGATCAGCCTTTGTGGTCTGGTGTGTGACAAAATCTCAGTACGGATACAGAAGGCTCAACTAGATTTTGCTAACTTGCGTCATTTATGGCGTAGGCGGGATATCCGTCTATCAACCAAAAAACGCGTTTACTGCGCAGCAGTTCGTTCCGTCCTACTTTACGGCAGTGAAACATGGCCGGTAAGAGTAGAGGATATTCGTAGGTTACTAGTATTTGATCATAGGTGTCTTCGAAGTATTTCTCGTATATCGTGGGACCATCGAGTAAGTGACGCAGTTGTTAGGAAACTGGTACTAGGTAATGATGGAAAATCAATTGATGAAGTGGTGAAACTTCATCAGTTGAGTTTGCTGGGACATGTGTTACGTATGCTCAACCACCCACTACCCGACGTGCGATGCTTGATGGTGTAGGAGTAAGTTGGAAGAAAGCTAGTGGCGGCCAGACCAAAACATGGCATAAATTCATGAAGTGAAATGATCCATGTTGGTAGGTGTAGACTACTTGGTTGGGGACCGCGAGACGATAGCAACTGATGGTTAGAAATCTTTAATGACATGGTTAAAGATCGTTTGCAATGGCGCAGGTGTATTCACTCTTTGTGTTCTCCCAAATTCTGAAGTTTTCATGTCCTTTTTTCCAAATTTCACTAGATTATACTCCTTGAATAACACTTTCATCTCACTGCCTTCACGTTATAATTCGTTATTTACATATCAAGTCTATTGTTTGTTACATTTTCCATAATCTAGCGTTATAACCTCCCTTTTACGTCATCTTGGTTATTCCTTGTTCACATTTCCTCACAGAACTATTACTTTAACAAAAAAAATTTCATATATATATACACGGTTGTACAGCTTGATCATAAATTCATTGAAAAAAGATCCCTCCGCTGAACTTTGTGTTTTTAAAATTTCCGTAATATATCTACATACTAATAAATTACATAATAAAGTTTCACTTATATGATATTACAGTCTTTCGTGTCACATAAACAAGTAAAACTCTCGTAGGAATTTACAATCTAGTCAGACATCTCAGATGACTGAGTGGATTATCACTATAAAAATTACTAAGTCGAGAATAGTCAAAGTAGATTTATCTCCATGTTGAAGGCCATCTTCTCAATAGATTAGTGTCGTAGGTTATTGAACTGACAATTTATTGAGTTTCAAATGATATACGACTTTTAAAATGATGATTTGTGTCCTTCAAGCTCAGAAAAAACATAAATATGTAGAAAGAATTCACATTGTTATCATTCCAAACAGCCTGATATGTGTTTACCAAGCACTATTTATTATTACACTGTTGTAAACGAGAACTCAGGTTGGAACAAAAAATATATGATTCAATGCAAAATGTGAAAAACTATACATAACACATTTCATTTTCAAATCTTAGATCAATTATCTCAATTACTCTCTGTTCTTATTCACAATCAATCTTCCACTGTCATGCATTCCACTTCTGATTAATGTTATATACTACTTATATCAATAAACATATGTAGCATACACCATAATACAATACACACACACACACACTTGTGAAACCATCTTAT